CTTAAAACAGCGGAGCCTTTTTAAAACTAATTTTCCACAAAAGGTGTTCCATTAGTTATTTTTATAGCAAGTGGCTTTAATTTGTTTTTATTATCGAAGGTCTTTAACCGTTTTCCAGAGAGGATCTATATTTTTTTCAACTGAAAGATTTATTTGTTTCTCAAAGTTTTTTTGATAAATTTATAGGCGGATATGTTAACAATTTAATCCAAAAGATGTATTTATTTGTTTTAATAGCGAAAATATTTAACTTTTTTGTTTCTTCAAGAACAGTTATTCAGATGAAGTTTCAGTTTATCAACGGTAGATTATTGAAATGTTTTATCAGAAAAGACCTTAAGCTGTTCAAGATGTGATGGTAAAATAAGACGCCAAATAGTAATGGAGGAAGTCCAATTTGCAATGGCAAATCAATATAACAAAAGAGTAGCTTGATGGAAATGCTATTCATGGTATAGCAATATTTATTGATAGAAATGCTATTCATGGTATATTTTTATTCATTGATAGAAATGATATTCAGGGTGTATCTATATTTATTGATAGAAATGCTATTCATGGTATATTTTTATTCATTGATAGAAATGATATTCATGGTATATTTTTATTCATTGATAGAAATGATATTCAGGGTGTATCTATATTTACTGATAGAAATGCTATTCATGATATATCTATATTCATTGATAGAAATGCTATTCATGATATATCTATAGTCATTGATAGAAATGATATTCAGGGTGTATCTATATTCGTTGCAAATGAAAGCCTCAAAGTGTTCCATAGAAGGCAGAAAAAAATATAAGTGTTATCTTAAATATGAGGTACTCGGTTATCTAGGAGACAAATATGGTATATTTGAAAGCTCTCTGTCATTCCGTTTAGATGTTTCAAGGTATTACGAGTGGACTAGAAATGTAGATTAGAACACACTGCTAATCACGAGAAGCGTACGTTCATATAGATACCTTGCCTTCTTATGTTTTCCTTGCCACTTTACTCTGCATAGTCCTTTTTTTTTGTCGAACCTAAGCATGAAACTAGTTTAGGATACGCAACTTCTTGTGTCTAAGTTTCATGCATTGTACCATTATTCGTTCTATCACGTCGGCAAATCTTATTTGAGTTTACTTAACCTCTACTTAGTTTGTCGTGTGTTCCTAGTTATTCCAACAGAAATATCCATTTTCTTTTTCAGAAAAACGTGAGCTTAATATTCCATCTCGTCACGTTTCTAGATTTTTTCCCCTTATGATCTATCTGTATCAATTCACATCTCAGTCAACATCGCCAGGGAGCAAATATTTTTCATCCACATCATCCCGTCATTCACTCCTTCATATTACAAAAGATATCTCTATCACGCACCTATTCTTTTATTTTCAGTTTATGTAATTTTTCCGTCTGTCTTCGTTATATCGAGTCCGTTTTGATAAAAGTTTGGAGTAGAAAGTGGAAATTGTGTTCGTTCTCCTTCTGTGTGCTTGCTGGCTGAGCAGAAGAATATGTTAAAAAAAAACAAGACAAAAATCTTATGTTTCAGATTATTCATATAAAGTTCTTACTTTTGCTACTATCTTTTCACACACACATATTTTGATTTTTTTATGTATTTATCTAGAACAAGTAATAGGCGAGTGTTATACTCAAACCTTTATTCCCACATTCCCAAACTTATAAAACATATATATATATATATGTGTAAATGTCGTAACCAAATCTGTTTTCTTTTTTCCAATGTCTTTATCATCTTATTCTCAGTTTGCTAAAGTGTAATTATTGTTTAAAAAAGTAGAAATTTGCATATAATAATCTTTAAACGTCAGTACATTTCTATTTGCGTTAATATACCAATATACATACCAACATCCATTTAACAGGAGAATCATCGTTTTCTTTTTATTCAGTTAATTTTGACTTAATTGATTTAGTTTTTACGTGAGATTCTATATATAATTACGTGATAATAACAGTTTCTATAACGAATGCACTTGCGATTGATGAATATAAATCACTTTCAGTTTTAACTACGTAGATAAATAATTTTTAAAAAGCGTATTTTCATACGTTTTTTTATTTACAGTTTGAATAGCTCTGTGGTTGAATCTGAATATTAATTCAACTGTGTTTTTATTTCAGAAAGCATTGGTTCAATAATACGTGTTTACATTTTGTTTTCCATGATGAATGTATTACATTCATTGAACTGCTTGTCGACTGTAATCCAAGCCGTTCGTAAGTATATATAATCAATACCATGGTTGTGTCAGTACGTTAACTGTATACATATATGACGCTTTTAAAACAATTCAACCTTGCAGCATACGCAACCAAATACTGCACCGAAGATGGCACTTGGTGGAAAAATAGTGACAACGTTTCCTGGACTAACTACAGTATGTGCATCAAGTGGGACACGTCGGACACAGATAGCGTTAGTTTGAAGGTAAAATGATATAATCTACCATTGGATATTTATGGTACAAAGATTAATTTTATTTTAAATAATATGCGCTTTGACTTAATTAGTGTTAAGTTTATGTGGTCACTAATATGGAATCACAAATGTTAGCGAAGTCATGTATCGTATAACATGGGATCAAAGAGATCTGCGACAAGACATATTAACTACTAGAAAACTTCGTACAGAAATCTTCAAGTTAACAAGCCTACTCTTTCTGCAATCATAAATGAATACAAATCTATTTCTAGCTACATTACGTATACAAATCATGATCTTGGAGATAAAACTTTGTACATTGCAACTAATATCTTAGCATTACAACGTGGTAGCGTTCCTGAAGATATATTGTGAGCAAAAGTGAAGCTAATCTAGCACGTGACATTCTTATTGTTTCTCTACCCTGTCGTGGGTAATATTCCAAGCAACATACCAACTTTAGAAATATTTGGAATCTTTCACTCTATCTCTCTCTGTCTAGTTTTGCTTTATATATCTTGTTTAAAGTATATTAGAAAATCGATAGATTTAAAAAAAACTGTAACCATAGTTTTAGACGGTATATCATTTTCTGTCGTAGATAGTTGTAATGTTGACCTTATGCACCATAGTCATTGCTTTTATAGAGCTTATAGCTACCGCACTATTTTCGAGGGATGGAGGAGATATTCCATCTCTAAACCAACTGTCAAAACGTACCCACTCTATTGGTTTACAGTCTCAGTTGCGTTTCATTTATCCAGAAGTAGTCCAGGAGTTTCCTTTCATTTTGTTATACAAAGTAAGACAGCATCTAACAGTTGCTAGTGTTAAGGTATTATCTTCACAAACAAACCTTGACAGTGCTTTCATTCTAAGTTATCGATGGATTAAATAAAATAAACTCTCTTCAAAAAGTCAGTCCTATTGTCGTCAGCAGAAATAAACAGACCACTTTTTTTGTCGTTGTTGAAATTGAGTGGAAATAAAGAAATAAAAAAAAGTAATAAAACAGAAAAATGCTTCCAAAGCTATCAGTACATTTGGTAAAAAAAAAGTTATTTGTTTGTAACTTTAGATTATAGGTTTCTTTATATGACCAGCTACATGATTGAAAAATAGAAGTAAAAACATCTTTCAACGAAAAAAACAGTGTATTTTCTAGCTGCATTACTTTGTTTATTTCTAGTTAAGCACAAAGCTATGTTTTTTATAGTGTTTTATAGGTCCGTAGACTAGCCGCTGTACTACTAGGGACGCTGAATTATTGTTAGAATTTCGCGAAAAGCTACACAAGGGCTATCTGCGCTAGCCGTCCATACTTTTGCAGTGTAAGACTAGAGAGAAGGTAGCTAGTCATCCCCTCCCACCACCAACACTTAGGCTGCTTTTTTACCAAAGAATAGTGGGATTAACCGTCAAATTATAACGCCCCCATGTCTGAAAAAGCGAGTATGTTTGGTGGGACGGGGATTCGAACCCGCAACCCTCAGAGCGCCCTAACCACTTGGCCATGCCGGGCCGCGCTGAATTAGTTTTGATTTTTAATTTATAAGGATCCAAATGCATTTTAATGTTAAACTTATATATATATATATATATAGAGAGAGAGAGAGAGAGAGTAATAGAACATTGAAGTTTAATTACAATAAACTAGCAGCAGAAATATTTTGTCACATAATTTTAACCATAAAATTAAAGAAATCTCTTAAGGTCGATGAAATTTTGGTGAATTAAACGATTTCTA